GAGCTGTCAGCGTGGCTGAGGGAGGCGGGTGCAGACACACAGACTGTAATGACAGCTCCACAATTAGGAGAGTAAATCAGGAGAGCGTCACTCAATGGAGAGAAATCCCCCTGATTCGCTAGAGATGGGATTTGGGCTCTTGGGAAGGAGTTGGTGCTGTTTAGACGAAAAATCCCCCCCGGTTTTGCAAAACCTTCGCGAGGCGGCAGCAGGACTACCAAGTCAGAAATTCGATTTCACTTGAATTGTTCTCTGCCCAGCTTCCCTTTCTGCAGATTTCATAAGGATTAGCCTTGGGCAAATAATTTTCTGGATTCAGCCTACCCTGCTATGGAAGATCTGCCTTCAGAAAAAGCTAAAACGACGCAGATGGCATTAAAAATGCCTCGTCCAGGGTGGCCTCATGTCCAGTTGGATGCGTGCAGGAAGAAAACCCGTACGTGCAAGGGCTGTTTGCGGCAGGGAGCAAAGGATTCCTGGTTTTGCCATAGGGTCAGAAATTCATTCTTGACATCGGGATCTGGCCGGGGCTTGGGGAAATATATTTTTGTTTCACGATCAAGAGGGGTGTTGGGAGGAGCAGTGGACACAGCATCCCCCTCGCTCTCCCTGGGCTGCACCCCGTCCCTGGCTCTGTGCCACCCGCTGCTCCTGGCACCTCGGGGAGCAAAAATAATATGGTTTAGCCCTACCATGTCCCCACACCCCCTGGCTGGCTGGGCCTTACGCTTAGCACTGATTTTCTCAGGTATTCAGGGTGGTCCATGCCCTCCTTTGCCACCTCGGGTTGTTGTCCCTGGGGCGATTGCCGCCGGCACTGGCAGCCCCTTGCATATTTGACCATTGCTTATGGGAATAGAAAATATTTCCATCACCTCCTCCAGCACTCATGTTTGCTGGGTGCCGGGCGCCTTGCAGGACTTGTTGCTGCCCCGATGCTCTCCTCGGGGCCGTGGGGTAATGGCAGAGTGGTCCAAGCAGATGCGCATCCCTCCTGCCCTAGGGTTGATCTGTAGGTCTCATAGGCCAAGTTGGTATCAGCTTGGCCATCTCCCCTCTTTGGGGGTGGGAGATGCCTCCATGTGAAGGGAGGTCTCTAAATGCAAAGCGATATAAAATGATTGCTTTTTACATCCCCACCCCAGCCAAAAGCAGGGCAGTGACCACACTGCGAGGCTGATCCTGCCCCATCTCTTTCCCCACAGCCGGTGTTCCCCATCCCCCAGGTCTCCCCGAGCAGATCCAGGCTATTACCGAGAATATGGTATGGATCGGAGCCGCGCGGTAAAGCAGCATCACGTATCCAGGGATATGATTATTTCCCAGTGGTTGAAATCTAGGTCTCTTGCTTGGGAGGAGGGAGGCGGGGGGGTGGGG